GAAATTTCAGGTTGATTCCATCTAAGATGGAAATTATAATATTTCAAAATACATTAGGCCTAAGCAGTATGAGATGTTGTTAGCTAATTATTAATTTGCATTATATACTATAACTCATATACAATACAATTTCAAAAAACAAATACTGGTAAAATAACAATACTTGAAAAATAGAAGTTAAACCACATTCACACTTTTCTCTATAAAAGTGAAAAAAAAAAGGAATACATACACAAAGAGATATTGCCTAAATGCTGCAAACCATGTTTTAATATTTCATTCATAATACCATAGCTAAGTTAATCTATTATTTATTACAATCCTTATTTCAAATATTTTAAAACATATAAAGACTTTAAATACTTCAAGTATATTAAGTTATGTGTCACATGTTCTTTAGAAAGCAACTTTTAAAATCAAAAACCTACAGTGGCTCGAGGAGATAGCTCAGGTAAGGATATCACATCTGCTATCGGACTTGGAGGGGACTGAATCCTGGGAAAAATAAATTTTGATTTCCTATTTAGCTACAATTTATTACACAAAACTAAATACTTCAACATATTATTTCAAAAGATGTTTCTTTACAAATTAATTTTAAAAGATTGGAAGGTTGCTCCAAGCAGCTGTATGGTGCACTGATTGAAACCACACATATATTAAAAAAAAAAAAAATCCTTACACAATGTTTTTACTTTCTTACTCTTTCACTATATTTCTAATTTCCTGTTTGAGTAATATAATTCTCAATTTCTTTCAAGGTTTGTAGATGAAATTAATGATAAAAAATTCCTTTAGAAACTTCAAAAAAATGAAAAGTTCAACATCAAAATCTTAGTAAACACAGACGTGTTTTCTCAGTTTCTTGGTTAAAGAGTTTATAAGCATAGATAAATTTTTTCTGTCATTACCAATTATGTTCCCTTGCTGCAATAATTTACTCCTATTTGTACAAAAAACAGTGGTGGTTGATTACAAAAAGGAAGAGAGTATTTTAATAACCTACATACTGACTTACCAAGAGAATAAGCTATTAGATGACACATACAAAATCTTATAAGAAAGAGAAACTTTTGTAACAACAAATACAAAAACAGACTCATGAAGTAAGACTTTTTATAATAACATAAAAAAGCAGACTCGCAAAGTAAGACTACTGTAAAAACACACACAAAAGCAGATTCATGAAGACGGTTGTATTAACACATACAAAAGCAGCATCACAAAGTAAGACTGTTGTAGAAACATATACAAAAGCAGACTCATGAAGCAAGACTGTTGTAAAAACACAAACAAAAGCAGATTCACGAAGACTGTTGTAATGACACATACAAAAGCAGACTCACAAAGTAATACTGTTGTAAAAACACATAAAAGCAGACTCATGAAGCAAGACTGTTGTAAAAACACAA